CTAACTTTCGACTACCTAAACTATCAGGATAATCCTCTTGGTCGAAATACTTGTCCAAACAAAGCAGCTCTAAAAACCTTTAAAGTAAAACTACTAACCTCTGAGTTACCAACTCACTTACATCTTTACCACAGAAACTCATCAACACACCCAAACCCTTTCTGTGCGAAATGTCCCCAAATACTTGAAGATACAGTTCACATGCTCACCTGTCCGCACAATACAACTAATATTGACGAAATTATACATAAAGCAATAACCAAAGTGTGCCAAGCAAATGAAATAAACACACCTACGACCCACGAGTTTATACAAGATTTTATTACAATTCATATAAAAAAACAAATCCCTATCAGAATCATTGGTTCAACAACACCCACAACATTAGGGCTATCTTTCCAAAACAATACGGTAATCTCACAAATATACCACACCATCACCAAAAGCATACATGAAGAAATATGGAAACCAAGCCGAACTTGTATACAACAATCCACTCCAAAACCTCTAATTATTATTACCCCCTTAGTAAATGATACTCCCCTCAGTTTAACAGATAGACAATTCGTTGCATGGATTAACCAATTCATTTACAATAATTCTATATCCCCACTTCTTAATTACATAGCCTAGAGGTTTTCGACCGTTCTAGCTAAGAATAGGTCGAGGGTAAACCTGAGCCCTAACTTCTACTCCCTTTCGTTTAATGTATAAATTTGTACAAATTGTATTTAATTATATATTTTGAAATAAAGGAATAGAGAAAAGACCTCTTTTAAAAAAAAAAAAAAAAAAAAGCAATAATACCTTATAGCTAACTTTATAAACAAACACATAAATGAACAAATTCCTATTAGGGTCATAACTATAGATACTCTTTTTCTAATAAGCCAAAATACATTAACAACTAACAACACTACTAGGCTTCACCACTTTATAATAAAGAATATTAATGACCAAATATAGGTTCCATCAAGAATAAGTATACACGATCACAATAATACAACACAGAGTTTACCTATACAAAACCACCTGAACCTAAACCAAACACCCACAATAGCACAAAATCATAATAACAATAATCTAAACAATACTTCTAAACAACAACTAAATTACAATAGATAGATAACTAACTATATAGAACACAATCACTTCCCAATACAAATAAATAACACAGTCTAGAGGTTATGGCCTATCTAGCTAAAATTTAGATTTGGAGTAAATTAGCATAGCTTTAGCTCTATTCCCTCTTCCACAAAAGATCAATGTATCATTTATAAAAAATTGTAAATCATATATTAACATGAAATAAAAGAATGAAGAAATGACCTCTTTTAAAAAAAAAAACTAGAACTAACCAATGAAAAGATAGAAGCTTAGATAGTACTTCCCTTTGAAATATATATTTAAAGCCTTTACTTTTTCCCTGAGCAGCTTAAACTTCAATAGCCTTTGAATTCTCACCTATTTATTGTCTTATTTCTTTTACATTGTTAGTTATTTTATTGGTTAAATAAAGTAGCTATGTTTTTATACATATTAAATTTCTTTTCTTTTATTTTATTTTTTTTTTTTAATATTAAAGGTGACCACTTAGGCCATTGGCATGAGCTTTATTTCAGATAGTTACAGTATTACATCAGATTCACGAGGATACAACTAGCCACACGTACACCTTTTGGGCATCTAATTTAAGTAGTCTGCCTGAGTTCTACACTAGCCACCATACCTGCAATCTAACTAGGAGATTACCTATTTAAGCTCTCTGGCTTTTACAAGTAAGAGTATGACTAGCCATACTTGCAACTTTTGGTTGCCTATTTAAGTAGTCTGCCCAAGATTCTACACTAGCTGCTATACCTGCAACCCAACTAGAGGGTTATCTATTTAAACTCTCTGATCACAACTGGCCTGTTATTTCTTACCTAACCAAGATGTAACTCACTATTTATATGCTAGATTTTGCAACATCTATAGATTTCACACTCTACCTAGAACTATTTTATCCTCAAAGTAAACCTAACAGAGTGGTATATGTCCCACATATGTATTCATCTGCATGTTCGGTAACTTCTTCCTAATCTAGTACCTGTTGTGTTGCTATTACCGAGTTCATGTCTCAAGCTATCTTTTAGAATACTGCTGTAACCCGATCCGTATCTCAAACCACAACCTTCTTATTTTAGTAGTTGTTATGTACTCCTGCCCTTGCATTAGGTTTGCACAACTCTAGCACCCACATTCGAACTTTTTTTCTTTCCCAGATTCTTTATTGGTCTCTTTCTTACTTCCAGCTAGCAACCTGGAAGGGTCAGTTCATCTAGTTTTTAGGTGTCTATATGGTCTTCCTTTTCTTGGTACATGCTTCCAGAGTACATATCCTTTTTCTCTAGTTTTGGTAACCTGGTGGTTCAGCTAGTATGTCCCCTTACTTAAAGACCTGGTCGCTTGGTTCTCCGATCTCAGTCTCCAGTTTCAAATTCAGTACTCCTGTAGTACCATTGAAGATCATGCTACCTCCTAACTCGGGACTTGCCAAACAGGTTTTTGATTCTTTCGGTATCTCGAGTTTATTATGCCAAGGTTCCCATTCTAGATAGTGTGTCCAAGATTACAGATTTCTAAATCCTACCGATCGTTGAATAGCCATTAACCGTATCACAGGGCTATTTTTTGAAAACGTCATCTGTGGAATTCGAACTCTAGACCTGCCATCTGGGGGTGCGACAACTCCACCACTTCACTAAGTCGCCACACCCTTATTTATCTATTTATAATTATAAAAAAAACTTATAATTGGATATAAACACTCAAATACTTCATGACCCATGAAGATAATCCAATCGATATCTAAATCTAGTATATAAATAAATTAAATTAATTAGATAAACGATTTTAGCCTTGTGACTATTTTATTTGCGTATTTCGAAGATTACATCCTTTTAAAGATGATTTTTTGCTGTTTTGAAAAAATAATTTCTGTAATAAAAACCATCTTCACGCCGTATAATATGGACTGCCGTCAATAGAAATCAAGGGGATTGACGTTCTAAAAAAAAAATCGATATAATAGCTTTTATAGCTCATATCTTAATAAATTTTAAAGTAAATTTTATAAACTAATGTTGAAAAGATATTCTAGATACTATTTTATTAGAAGTTTCACTAAGATATAAACTGTAAAAAGCTAAGATATTAATTTTTTTTAAGACGTCAATCCCCTTGATTTCTATTGACGGCAACCCATACATCAGCTAATTTTATGACAAAAATTAGACTTGAAATAACGCATATAGGCGTATTCGAATAACACGCAAATGATCAAAATAACATGTATATGCTCATTATATGCTTATTATCTCAAACTTTTTGAAAAGACTAAAAAAAACATATTTTCAAAGAAAGCTTCCTGATTAAATAATCAAAGATATTATATTCTCATACCGATATTAAATCGTGAATTGTATAAATTGATATTTTTTTCGTATTTTTTTCCTCGTTCATTTTTTCTTCAATTCTCTCAAAACAAAACAAAATCAAAAAAATGCCTGCTTCCGTAACCGTATTATGTTATGTGACGAGTTACCAAAAAAAATTAGTTCCTAATAAAAGTCTTTCAATTGTCAAAGCTTTGGGTATTGTAAGATCCCAAAGTCTAGACTTTCCTTTGAACATTATTTTAACTGGATTTTATCACCATGATACTATTCAAGAATTAAATTTACCTGAATTTGAAGATAAGGATGTAGTGCTTGCTACTGAACATTTTCGTATCATTGAAGGCACCAGCCAAAACGATGAAAAATATTCTATTTTAAAAGTATAAATTACTATCATTATGAATATAAAAAATTTAATCGAATAAATAAACTGTTGTCGATAGAAATCAAACAAATTATATTTTAAAAAAATCTAACTTTCGTAACTCATATCTTGATGAATTCTAAGCTATTTTAATAATTCGATATTCAAAAAAAAAGAAGCTTGAAACCAAACTTTATTTTGAATATTAATAAATCATCAAACTAGCTTCAAAATCCATTGAGATATCGACTATGAAAGTTAAATATTTTTTAAAATGTAATCTGCCTAATTTTTATTAACAATAGTTTAGGTTAATTTTTTTTTTTTTTCTTTTAACAAAAAAGATTACTTTGAACGATGTTGTTCGTTTTGATACCCTTGATTCTAACGATTTATCTGCATTTCCGATATTAATTAACATGACGGCATTGGTTCAAGAAGACCCAGAAATCGATAATGAAGATGTAGTCATTAATGTTTTGACTAAAAATTATGTCGACCAAGGTTATAATAGTCTTAAATTAACATGCTATCATCCTACTTCTGCGCAATATTTGACGAATACGACAGCCGTTATAAAGAAAGATTCTGTGATCTATGTTAACGGGGAACTCATGATTACTGATGATGATAACATAATTCATATACGAAATGTTTTGTTTCCGGAATACCAAAAATTAAATATGATTACAAAACACAGCCCAATGCAATTTTCATAGGAATCGAAAGATCGGAATAATACAAATCAGCAAAATGCCTTTACTGTTGCTCAAACTATAGCCACAAGAGTCAAAGGAAGCACCCGATGTAAAAAAACTACACCTAACCCTAAACCATATCTTAAAACCAATTCTTGCCCAAAAGTTACTGATTTGGCGAATAATCTCTTAAACAAACCTTCAAATTCAAACACACCTAATCAAACTGTTACTGAATAGATAAGTATATTATTATTTACACACATGTTAGTATGTACTTAACTTAAAATCATTCATCTTATTTTTTTTTTCTTCTTCTGTAAATAACAATTAATATTCAATACTTTTAAATACTATAAATATTCGTATCAGTGTTTTTTTTCTTCGAATAGTTTTTAACACATTATATATACTTATCTGATATGTATTTATATTTATCTATGTATAATATATATTTACATTTATATAAATAGCGAATAAACTTTCGTATATCTAAGATTATAAACATAAAAATCTTTTAACATTTAACCGAGCTATAATAAAATTTAGGGGAATTTACAAATAAGGGCCCAGAAAGTGAAAATAATTACAAATACGGGCCCAAATTAAAAATAATTACATATAAGGGCCTAATTTTTTAAAAATATTACATATTAGAGCCCAAATCTATTGATAGCTGAAAAAACCGGATCACAGGCTTATAACGATAGCAAAACCGCGATTATAGAAGACATTCAGAGTTATTTATATACTGATTATTAGATAAAAGGTTAAATAAAGTGCTAGTTATAATTAGTTTTGCTTAAATATTGCATAAAAATGGTGTTAAAACTAGCATAATTATTATATGGCGAAGTTTCGGCAGAGTGGGCTAAACGAACATCTTCCATATTAGTAAATACTATGCCAATTCACAATAGTTTACTTGACATCGTAGTGGTTTGTTATAACAATAAGCAATTTCATACAAAGAAAATTAAATTTATTAAATTTAAAAAATTTTTCTTTTCTTATTTCTAATTACTAATTTACAATCGATCATTACATTTTTTATGTGATACCTACATTTTTTATACTAATAATGATCAAGCCGCGGGTGAGAATAACGTCACGGTTATTTTGGGCCCTTATATGTAATATTTTTAAAAATTAGGCCCTTATATGTAATTATTTTTAATTTGGGCCTATATTTGTAATTATTTTCGCTTTCCAGGCCCTTATTTGTAAATTCCCCTAAAATTTAAATTATAAAAAGGAAGAACCGAAGTAACTAGAGTTAAAACTTTAACGGTTGATCGAAAAAAAATTTTTTTTATTGAATTTTTTAAATAGTATAACAAACTACAAAAAATAAAAAAGATATGCTCAAGCATTTGATTCTATAGATATTGTCATCGATTATAACACTTGAGCATCGTCACAGTTATTTATCAAATCAATTTATTCAGATGCTTAAGATTAGCTTAAATTACACTTAAAAATTTCACAACCTCTTCTAGACATCAATACCAATGATCACACGAATATTTATTGAAATATTTAATAACTATACCTCAACTTTAAAAAAAAAAAAGGCCAAGCCTCTCTTATATAATACAGATTCACGATCTATAAACTCACATCTTTGAGAACTATTTAAAATATATTTTGAAATACAAATATATACTTGAATAAATGTTGCACATCTTTGCTATATATGCTCAACAATGCAAAAAATAATATATTAAATATCGATATATACAAAATATTTAGCTTCTTAATATGGTTGTAAATACAATTAATAAATAATATTATATAGTTAGATTATCATTACAACTTCACTTAAAACAAAACTACCGAATTGCATTAATACTTCACGAATTATAAATACCACACCCGAATTCTCGACTATAATTTAAATAACTCTAAAATCAAATCACTTGACAAAAAAAAATTTTTAAAAAATAAAATATCTTTGATAAAACAAATATTTTGATTTAAATATGTCATTTCACGTATATAGAATTCTTGAAATCGAACCCCTAGAATTCAATAAAGAAATAATTGATCTAATATCTAATAACAATAACTCATAACACTCTGACCACCAATCCAACGAATTACCTCATCCAGGAATATTTCTGTGGATAATCTCAGAAAAAATGCAAACTTTAATAGAAAAATTCGAAAATACTATTCTATCTTAATTTCCATGCGTTCTTTGTTCTATTTGCTCCAAACTTATATATCCAGAGAAATCGATGTGGATTAATTAAAATCCTAATACTCTGTATCCACTTGAAAATAATAGATCACTAGTCGTGAACCCGATACCACCTGCAAACTGTATTGCAATATGTCGTTTATGCAAGTCAAACCCAACATGCAATTATCCACCGTACCTACACCCGATTCCACCTGAAATTGAATCAGTACTATTAAGATTATGCAAACGCTTGTCCTTTATCTTTCTCCATTGTTCTCTGGGTAGAACACCTGAAGCCAATCCATTCTCCGAATACAGAACACTGGTGGGCACTATGAATTACTCACAAAACCTTAACTCTCTGAATTTATATTCAGGCTTATTAGGCGCTTACCTTACCTCTCCAACTTCTACTCAATCTGCACTTCCTCCCTGGTTTGAAAACTCGCTAATTAATGCTACTAATTGGCTTAAAGAAAATAATCCTTACATATGCCAATATTCGTTAATGATTCCACTAACATCAAATTCGAATCTCCAGTTTCTTGTAGCCATTCATTCATCTGTCGATGAAAACACACCCCCATTTCGACACGGCGATATAGTAGTTCCACACCAAAACTTTCTCGCTGAAATCCACAACAAAGATACAAACTACTATCACTTAATAGCTAGATTCGTGGCCAATGATGATATAAACAGAATCCCAATCGCCCTAAACGATCCACATCTTGAATTATTACTCTTCCCAGACCTATATCCTGATGGTTATGAACATTATCAAGATATGTGAAGTCAATTAGAAAATTTACAATGACACCACAACACCCTCAGAAAATACATAAAATATCGTTTACTTTCCAAAGATCCCCGATTTCGACTGCATCACTACTGGCCTGCATGGGCTTATCTACAACTAGAAAAATTCAGAAATTTCCAAAATACTCAATGACTTATTAGACAATCTGCTGCTTATGAAACTCACCGTCCACCTATAGCTATTGAAATTATTAAACGCAGTACCTATACTGATGGTTGGCGCTACAACGAGACAAAAACATCACCCATACTCACGTTTATTCGTACAGGTGATAGTTACTTTCAAAAAAAAAATATGCATCTAAACACAATGATCCACGAACTTGGCCTCCTAACAATATTTATCACATTAACAATAGCCGAAGGTTTGTAGACTCACCTTCACAACATACTCACTAACACAGATAATAATGACCTGTTGCCAACCAACAGACTATTATATGCAACATTACACTTCATCCACAGACTACAAAACATCAAAAAATATGTTTAGAAAGATCCAAACATTAGTGAATGGGGAACCTACTCACACTTTTTTGACCGAATAAAATTTCAAACCTGTGGAGCGGCACATCTACATGGTGTTTACTGGACAACATCAAACATATTAGAAATGATTAATTCAAATATCATTCGATCAACCCTTCCCAACCCTAACCTAGAACCAGAACTTTACCAAAAAGTCCGTAACTTTCAAACACACACATGCAATTTTAAATGCAAAGGTCCAGCCCCACCAGGATCAACATGCAAAAAAGGATTTCCCTGTCCTATCTCTGAATACACATTTTATGACCCAAATAACTACAGATATACTTACAGATGCCTAAAACCAGAAGATCAATGGATAGTTCTATATCACGCTTCTATATTAATGATATGGGATGCTCATATGAATATCCAATATGTAACTAATAAAGGACTTGTCAGATATATAACAAAATATATAAGCAAGTCAGAACCTACACACTTATTCAACATCCGTGAACAAATACACTACCATGAATACATTCATGCTCGGCGAATGGGTTTAATAGAAATAATGTTTCTACTGCTTGGCAAACATATAGTAAACTCATCAATCCAAGTCCAGTATCTAACTACAGATCCTCTATCCACACGATCAAAAGCAATTATTTCGCTATATATGCTAGACTCACTTGAAGATGATCCCTATTGGAATGATAAAATTGAAAAATACTTCGCACGACCACCCAACCCTATATTTAACAACATAACATATAAAACCTATTTTGAAACTTATGAATTAAAATCAACTCATCCAAACACATCTAACAGAACAGTATACCAAGACAATCTTGGAAATTTTGTTGTCAAACACAATAACCGAATACTCACACGTATGCGATCCTTACGGATAGAACATGGTGAATTGTTCTTTTATCAACAACTTCTACTAAAATTTCTGTGCAGATCTGAAAACAAGATGTTAGGTGGTTACCGAAATTACAGAGACCATTTCCTAGCTTATTTTCTAACCGTATACCAATCTATCCAAGAACAAAATCAAGAATTTACACTAAGACAAACATCACATGCCTTAAATCAATTCAACACCCTCATCGAAACAATAACTTCGTCACTTAACTCAATCCTAACAACAGATATCCTAAACATAATAGAAATCCAATTAGACTCTATAAAAATATTACCACGAGTCGTGAACATTAACTTAACCATAAATCTACCACCAAGTTAATACCATTGCTAACAAACAATAAATAAATACCTAGGTTCACAAAACAGTTCACACTATCCCTTCTTCTTTATCACAGGCTTAGCAGGCACTAAAAAATCCTATATGATACGCCTATTGTTAGAAGATTTTCAAAGAACTAACCGAAACTATTTACTATTAGCACCAACTAGAATCGCTGCACAAAATATCGGTGGATCAACAATTCACTCTGCACTACGAATCATCCATGATGAATACAGATTCCGAACTCTCATATTTCATGATCATGAACTAAACAACTCACTCCTCCAAATAAACACTCTCATCATAGATAAAATATCTATGGTATCGGGCCAATTCCTAACATACATCTCTGAACTTTTTGAATCATTGCACAAAAACAATAACCCATTTGAAGGCATCAACGTTATTTTAGTCAGTGATCTGGCCCAATTACCTCCGGTTACTGGCTCTCCTGTTTACCAATCCCCTATATGGAAAATCTTCTACCTACTATTTCTCTGTGAACCCCAAAGACAAAGTCAAGACACCCAATTCTATAACCTACTACAAAAAATAAGAATGAGTGAGATCGACAATACAACATGACAAATACTGTCCCAAAAAAACCACGAAACAATCAGATCATCTGAATTAAATACCACCCTTAATACCACACACATAGTAGGCTACAGAAAAAATGCAGACTTAATAAACAAATTGATATACCCCATGATCCCTACCCAAGAAAACAAATTCATGATTTCAAATAGTATTGATGTCTTTAATAACTAAATATGTAATGACAAATCAATATTCTGTGAATTTAAAAACAAAACCAACCTACCAGAAACCATTAGAATCCAACCTGGTGCACGAGTTATATTTCTCACCAATTCACAACATCAACACCGAATAGCAAATGGTACTATAGGTATCATCACAGACCTTGATCCTCAACTAAATCTCGTTTACGTAAGTTTCTGTATCGAAGGAGCTATAATAAATACTTCATTCACCAAATTCACAAGCAACTTTGATATAAATGGCATACCTGCTAGTTGAACCCAATTCCCAATACAAAATACATATATGTTAACTGTCTACAAAACACAAGGACTTACACTCACTGATGTATCACTAAACCTAGATGAACAAATATTCGCACCTGGCCAAGCATATGTAGCATTAAGCCACTGTACTAACTGGAATAATTTAAAAATACAATCACTAGATAGCACTGCTTTTATCACAGACCAATCTATGATCAGAGAATATAGACGTTCAGAACTTGAAGCCCTTGAATCACTACTACTAAACAGACCAGTATAACAAACTCCACTAACAGAACCAAAGGATCCAGAATACTTCAAGCCTAAAAGCAAAAACAACTCTCTACTATCATTAATATAAAATTCCTAATGCACACATAATTCAAAAATTTTTTTTTCCTTTAAACTCTTTTATACCCTAAATTATTGATATGTGTAACCAAACTATTTTATAATTACATGATTAATAAAATTCAAAAATTACAGGTGGCGAAGCCGCCCATGTGCACATTCTCTAGTTTGTTTATATTAATTCCCATGCTATTTTGTTTGTTTGTATTATTTCCCACGCTTGTTAGTTTGATTTGTTCTGATGATATCATAGTTGTTTTTGACAGAGGTTTACTAGATTTTCCACTTTGAGCTAAGTTTTTTGGTGCAGGAGGTAAGAGTTTAATGGCAGTGGTGATGGAAGTGGTGTTTGTGGTTTTTTCAGGTTGTGAAGTTATCTTCTTCTTTTTAAGTGGTGGTGGGTTGTCTAGTAAGGTAGGGTTTTGTTTTGTTGGCAGATTGTTTGAGGTCCTGGTGGGATTTATCAGAGTAGCACTTGATTGAGTTGGAGGGATGAAAAAAGGTTCAAAGGCTTCAGGAGTAAAGAGTAATATGTTTCTGTTTCTTTTTAGCTTTGTGTATATAATTTGGGGTCTAATCAACAATACTTAGTATGCCCAAAAGCCAAAAATATATATAAAAACTATTTGTTTTATATTTTTTGCGAGTGTTTTTCTCTTAATTTTTGTTGTTTTGATGATCTACAGAAAAGAGTTTTTTTTATTACCTTAAAATATATAAAATTTAAGAAAGTTTAAAGAAAAAATTATATAGTAAAAATTTTAATACAAGAACTTTAAACTTTTATTATACTAAAGTTTTTTAATAATTTTAAAAAATTTTTTTAATAAAGTTAATAAAACAAATCTAAAATTAAATATTTTACTTAGAAAATATATAGCTAAAATCAATATATAAAATTTTATTAAAAAAATTAAACTTTTAATAAAAATGCAGGCAAATTTGCCTGTGTTACAATTTAAGAGATAATGCTATCTAACTATACTTGGTACTAGAAGTATATGCAAAACATGCCTGAACTTCTTGTCACTATATTAGGAAGTATAGTTGTTTACATATTGCTAAATTTATAATATTTAAATCTGGGTTCCAAAGTTGCAGAAAATCTAGCTAGTTATAGTAGTATACAGACTTGAGATACTTACTTAATTGGGTAGAGGTAGCTATATAGCTTAAGATACAAACTTCTAGAAAGTACGATAGTAAGGATTAAAAGAATTCTTTGTTAAATACATCAAACCAGAAGCAAAAAGCACCTATCTAAAAAAAATACATACCAATTTGGAAGTTCAAATAGTAGATTTTGTAGGTAATATGGTGAACATGTGAATACTAATTAGCAGTTAGGAAAGGAAGTACAAAAATCAGGTCAATCACATGTGTAAAAGTGTGATAGCTCTGGTGGGTTTTAGCTATAAATAAATAGTTTGTATATCTAAAGTCCTAGTCTCAATACTAATATATAATATATATGTATTTATAGCACTATCGTATATCAATTTACTTAAATATTAATAAAAGTTTGAGGCAGGTACTACATTCGGGGTATTTCCCTAAATATTAAAAAAAAAAAAACAAACTTGTTTATATAGTATATATATTATTTATCTTGGACTTTTTAAAAAAAAATTTTTGAAATTCTACTATATATAATACTTGAGATTTTGGTAGATAAACTATATACTCAAGTATTAGATATTTATCCCTTAAACGGTAAGCATTTGCAGGCAAATTTGCCTGCAATTTTTTCATTTGCATTATTATATATAAAATTTTATGAAATTTAAATTTTATACATTTAAATTTTTATTGTAACTAGCCGTTCAATGCTACAAACAGCTTGAACACTTACTTGCGCTACTACATATCAATTATATAATATATTTATATTTGCAAATCGCCTATTTTTAACTAATTCCGGTTTTTTTGAAAATTTTATATTTATCTTTAATTTTCTTGGCTTGTCTTAGTTATAACTATAAGAAACCTTAATAAGAAATGTAAAATTCGACATAAAAATTAAAATTTATTGTTCAAATTTGCAACTCAAAAGTAAAAATTTGACTTTACATTTAAATAAAAAAAATAAGTTTTTCGTAAAATTTTGCCGTTTTTGTATGATTTTGCTTTTTTTTTTTTTTTTTTTTTTTTTTAATTATCCTGACTTACTGAGAATTCTTTTTTTTTTAATTATTTCGAACCTCTTGAGCATTCTTTTTTCTTTTCTTTGTGTATTAATTACTATCTTCTTTTCGTGTGTGATAGTCTTTAAAGCAATTGGCTCTATCCTTATTACAACATAAAGGTACGTTGCATTTATTGCAATAAACCTGAGATTGTGATGGATTTTGGGACGCTTTTTTATTATTTTTTTTTGCTAAATACTTGCACCATACACAGCTAATTCTATCTTTTCTCCATTCAGGTAAATGTCCTTCCGGAGATAACCTTAATATGGGAAGCTCGAATTTGCTTGTTACATATTGTGTTCTTGAGGTATGAGTATCAATATTTTTAGCTAATTCTTCAGTTGAACTTCGGGTATTTGGTTTTTTTGTTGAATTATTTTCTTCCATACCCGCACTAATTAGATCCCATACTAGCTGAATTCGAAAAGCCTTCTGACTAATATTTTTACCATTTTTTTTAAAAATCAAATATGAATTGATAATAGAAGTATCCAATAGCCAATAAAATAAGGGCATCCATGTCTTTCTTACTGGCAATTGAATACCATAATACCCGCGTAGCTGATCAGCTATATCTACCCCACCCATAAAGTGGTTATAATCATCAATCACACGAGGAATTGGTAAGGCTTTTTTGCTAGCAGTTCCAAAAACTGCCCGTACTTTTGCTGCATTGGTGCTGGTTTCTCGAGGCCGACGTCGAACTCTTTCAATTCTATATTCATCTCCAGTAATTTCATGAATAGTAGTCAGCATAGTTACTGGTCCATTGTCTATCCACAAAATAGCCAGTACGCCATTAACTACTACTCCTGATAATGTATCCCAATCTAGTTTTTTATCTATTTTAAGTATTTTTGGAAATTTTGCACTGTTTGTTCGAACAGTTCCGCATGCCCCAATATCATTATTACGCAGATGTTGAAAGAGAGTGATAGAGGAAAAATAATTGTCCATGTATATGTTAAAAGATTTATTTAAAGGTAATTGAGAAGCGAGATGATAAACCTCATTTCCGACTTTATTTAAAGTAGGAATATTTTCTATTTCTGGATTATTTTGAACTCGTGAAGTAAACATAAAAGCATACGTATAGCCTGCATTACAAAGAGAAAGAATTTTGTATCCTTCTGGTGTAGGTTTATTTTTAATCCTAACTGTATGCATACTTCGGCCTGCAAATCGCACAATCATTTCATCAATTGATACATTAGATGATGGGATACAAATTAATTTAGAGATTGTTTGTATATGACTTGCCAACGGATCTAATTTAGAATACCAATATAAAGAGGGAATTGTACAATCTGAAATATGCATAAAACGCTTAATCTAAAAAAAAAAAAAAAAAAACTAAATTTTTAAAAATTTCATATTGAATTGACAAATATTTATTAAAAGACCATACTTGCTCAAAACGAAGTAAAGTCATAAAAGTCGTTATCCTATGTTCTGGAAATCTACTATCTGCATTCCAATAATCTCTAATACTAGGTAACTTAAAAATACCAGTATATATTAATATTGCCAACCAAATTTTGAATTCTCCTATTGTTAAATCCTTCCATTTACGTCCCGCTCCTGCACCTTTTAAGTAAGCATACTTATTAGTATTCTGAACTATCACACTTAATTGTTCAGATGAAAAAAAAGTACTAAACAATAAATAAGGCGATGATAATGAAGATTCATATCTAGTAGGTAAGTGTAAAGTAAATTCATGCATTGGTTTTAAATGCTGAAATGTACTAAAAAATGGGGGAGAAGGAAGCTCCTGAACTTCAGTTTGACTATGACCTTGGCCATGACCATGGCCACGGCCACGGCCACGGCCATGACCACAGCCACGGCCACAGCCATGACTTTGGTTTTCATCACTATTATGGCCTCTACTTCTTTCATCTTTAATTTCTTGAATATTTCTATCTTGAATGTCATAATTTTCATTATCATCCGATTCATTTTGCTCACGATTTTCATGAATACAACGTGATAGCTCTACAAAAAACACATCATCATCATCCTCTGTAATATATACATCATCATCGTCCTGTTCAGTAAGCATTGAAGCTTCCATTATAAAAACAAAATAATGAAAAAAATCAATCTAATGGAAAAAAAATCTAATTATTTATTTTAAAATATCGTACGGTGCAAGAAATCTAACCACAAACTCCGTATAGAAACAAGAATAACAAGCTACAGTGTTTCCTAAGCTATTAGCATCAATAAAGTGTGTACATACATAACGATAAAAAAATACTATCGAAGTCAATAATTTAAGAAATATTTGGTTTCAATGTGTTACATGAATATGCACCGCAGACCATCTCCAAGGTAATGTATAATTAAGTAGGCATAGTTAAGTAGTACAAATATTTTTTAATTATCGACTTCAATAAAGTATTTATGTATATACTTTATTGATGCCAATAATTTAAGAAATAACATGTCTTAATAAGGAAACTGTAGTTTTTATATTTCTTGCATCGTACGTGAGAAAAGCTTAAGGAATTCTTTAAAGGGTTAGTATCGCACTTTTTTGAAATATATAGGGCGTAATTAACCGATCAAGTATGTTAGTCGAATGTTGATCAATGTCTATCTAGAGCAGAAAAATGATTGGTCAATTTTTGTAAAAAATATGAAATGATCTATGTCTAAATTTGGAAATTGCAGGCAAATTTGCCTGCAAAACCGTTTAAGGGATAATAATAAAGTTGCACAATACATATTGTTTTAAAAAAATTTAACTTTACCTATAACTAAAATTTCCCGGACGCTATATGGTTTTACCTGGTTACACAAAGGATTACTAATTATGATTGGTCAAATCACATGAAAATCATATGATACATATGATATTGGTTACACAATGTTGATCTTAGATATATATTCATGCAAATATTTTTTTTCATCGTTCAATTACAAAAAAATTATGGAATCATTTCCAAGTTACGACGGTTCTTGCCATCCAGTCGATTGGGTTAACAATTTAAAATTCGTTGCAGCACTTCATGGAATAACATCAGAGACCGTCCTAGTAGACCTAGCGCTTCTTAAAATAAGTCGAGCGATTCAAAATAATAGTAGTGGATCTATAACAAAATTCTCGGAAGTAATTGACCTCCTAAAGACAGATTCATCGTATAAGATTTTCAAATTGACTTCAGAAAAAAAACTTTCAACACTACGATTTACGCATTTATGTGATGTCAGAGATTTTATTGTTGAACTACGACAATTACTAAGTGACGCTGAAATTTTTGATTTAAATACACAAAAAAAATATATTATAAAAATTTTATCTAGCAAATTGCTGGCTAAAAATTTTAGTTCAAAAATTGCAAATGCAACATCTGCTGATGAAGTTTTCATTAATCTTCAAGAATCACTTCATAAGCTTAAACGTGTAGTTAAATATGGGTCTGTAATTACTTTGTACCACGTCGATACTAATAAGATTTTATCGAGAACATTAAATAAATATAGCGGCGGTTCAAAGCAATATTGGGTTTGTATTAAAGTATTAAATACCAATTATCATATTGTTATTTTTCAAATTTATCATTTTAATTTTCTTGGCTTGTCTTAGTTATAACTATAAGAAACCTTAATAAGAAATGTAAAATTCGACATAAAAATTAA